CGCAGACTGCATCGTAAGGCGTTGAAACACGAAGAGATCAGGGTTCTGGCTGAAGCAAAGCTGAACACAGTAATTGAGCGTATTTCCACGGCACTCACTGACAGTAAGATCTCAGAGGAGGAGTTTCGTTCAATCCTCTCTGAACTCACGAAATATAACAAAATGAAACAAGAGATTCGATCCAAGTCTCGTAAGTCTGTTATCAGCGAGGACGAGAAAAAAAAGTAAATAGAACAGGGGGTACAAAAAGCCCGGCAAGCCTTTATTACGAACACCAAAGAGATCACAGGCGATTCACATTAAACTGTTTCATCGAGGTCAACGTGACATAGCAGCACGTGGAGCTATTATAGAGGCAGCCCAGCTTTGGATGATGCAATCCCAGGATAGACCCGTTAAACCGAGATACGTCCCCGGTAGCTCAGTTGGTTGAGTGGTGCGGCTGTGAGGTATACATGTGGGGTTCAGTATCCGCTGGTGTCTCAACTTTTATAGGTCGGGAAATCAACGGGGGCTCAAAAGTAGTAGATACAATGGTAGCAAGATCTAAGGGCCTGACAAAAGCTTTATTTGTGAAATAAGGCTTTGCAGAGGCTTTGTTGGACTTGGTCCAGGACTATCATTGAATATACTACTGCATTACACTAGACACCGTCAGTACGTGAGTACCATTTGTTGTTTTACCTTTTTGCATTTTAATACTTTTTGTTCACACAAAACGGAAACCAAAACATCGAAACTACATTAAGAAATGGGTTAATGTAGAAATTTTGGGCTAATGGAAATTGGCCTCGAATTTGCAGCACTCAAGCCTCTTTCACACGGGGTTATAGCTAAAATGGCACCACAGCAGAACGGCACCAAAATCGTTTGGCGAAAACGCCTACTGATTTCTGAGCTAAAACGGCACCATATACAAAACACAGTATGATGTTTTAGTTCGTTTAATTATAACATTAGAATCAACATATAAAAAACACAGTATGATAGGACACGTGGTCGTCTTCTTCTTCTAGGGTAGGGGGTTGTTCGACAGCTGGTAAGGTAGTGTCCGCTTCCAAACTTACATGAAAGTTCACTGTGTCCATCATGTTGTCAAATGAATTCCTGCGACAGCGAACACATACGAAAGGGAAATCCTCTTCATTTCGACAAATCTCATGGTACCGTGATACAGAAAGGCCGGTACCACAAACACGATGAGTCCATAAATCACACTCGTCACAAGATACGGCATGTTGATTCTTCCTGACAGTCTTATCTCATACAACACAGTGGTGAGACATTGTGATGAATGATATGTAATGTGTACATTCTTGCGTTTTAAATACAGTTTCATTTTGACACTGAGTTTGGGCGATTTGAGTTGAGTAAATGTACTTAAAACATCAAAGGTTGTGATGTTTTTCCGTTAAATTTACAGGCTTTTCAATCACTCGGCACAGTAGATGTTTTGACTATCGAAGCCGATTATCAGTCAGACTCATTCATTATCTAAACATACTGGAATCCGATTATCAGCTAACACAAACTTTCCAATCACTGTCGGCAGAGTAGACTCATTCCAAAATTCTGTATTCAGATTATCTAATGACAAATAAGATGTTCCCAATAATTAACAGAAATTTTGTAAAGTAATGCTAACTCACCCTCGTGCTGTCACTACACAGGCGTATGTCTCCCTCGTTCCTTAGTGCGATCCACATTCTCCTTACAGTTTTCCCTACATCACTGATTAATATAAAAGCGCGTCATTCATGCATGCACCATGAAATCTACGTCTGACGCCTGACGTCAACAACCCTTTTCAGTTTGAGGCATGTCGGCTCATTCCACGCCACACGTTAATTTGTAGATTACGGAATGGGACGAGTGTGCCAAATGGCATCGGATCCATTCGGCAATTGTCCGTAGAATAAAATCACGTGACACCAAGTCTACCCGTAGCATACGTAATTGTCCGTGACCTATTTGACTCTTTCCGTTCATTTCCGTGGACGTCCACAGGAATGACTTGATAAATTTGCACATTGTGCAACAGTGTGGGCGTAGCTCAGTCGGTTAGCTGTCGAGCTACCAATCGAAGGTCGCGGGTTCGGCGTTCGAACAAACTGGTTGCTTGACGTGACCTACGGCCGGGATCGCCCTCACGAAGTTGTGGTGCTGTATTCTAAAGGTGCTCCATTGAAACAAGTGAACTGATGAAAATTAGCACTTATCTGCATTCGCATCCAATCCTGTTATCCTCCGGTACAAAGTATGGTATGCGACTTGGCCATCCATTTTGTAAGTCGTCTTGAATTTCACCAGCAGCTTATCTACACGCCCACATCCTATGAATTTCGCGGTAGATGATAGCAATGTTGAATATGTCCCACTGTCCCACCGAAATGAAACAAAAACATCCAGGGTGGTCTCAGCAGCGATGAGGTGCAAAGCGACAAACGAATATACGTGACGAATGATATAAACCAATGTCCCGTGAATGCACTTCGCCAGCTCCTTGACAAAAGTGACCCAAATGCCGGATCACTTTTTTCGCACTGTAACAAAGATGCACTTTGTTCCCCAGACGCACACAACATTTGGTATACAGCAACCCCAGTCAGAAAATACCAGTTCACTCATTTCATGTTTGACATATGTCGCAATGCCCAATGTAGTCAGTCATACACTGCTCATTGCCTTCGGGCCACAGCAATTCAAGCCATGAGTGAGGACGCTGGCTTTGAACCGTCACATAATGTTTATGAGTGGCCATAGGAATGAAAGTTCGATGTGTAGAGTTATAGTCGCCACCACTAGACGACTAGTCAAAAACTAAGAATTAGCGAGACGCTTTCCGCCATTGTGCGCCTCGACAAGAGCATGCGACGCGTTGGAACATCAGTTCATGGCATCATGAATCCCAGTCACAGCCCCTTTCCACTTGCGCAAATACTGCTGCCACTAACAATCCTCAGTTCCACTAACTTCATGTCATCGGGCTTCTTTTCCAATTCTCACTTTTCAAACTGTGTCTTTCAGTTCGCTGGTAATATTTCAAATGTTTGAACTTGAAACTTTGCGTTACGGAGCAACGTCACGTTGTGTTGTTCCGCTCTGATTTGCCACACCGATGTTAGCTTGGTTGATTGACAGCTGCTTGGGGTGCTCTATGCTGATTGGCTAATGGTTTGGTAGGCGTGTCATTTTATGTAAATGAGTCACCTGAGTCATGTCGCCATTACCGAATTCTTACACCGAAAATGTCAATCGGTGGTAACAAAGATATCTGTTTCGATGAATTTGATTGTGTTTAAATAAAATATTGTTGAAAGCCTGTAGTATTTGTTGTTGAATTTAATTATAAGGATACACGTAGTATTTCTTTGTTGCATTGAGGTATGAAACTAAAACCAATGTGCAAACGTTAGTAAGAATCCGCCACAGTTTGCACATTGGTTTTAGTTTCATACCTCAATGCAACGAAAAGAAATACACAGTCAATCCTTAATTGTTCGTGATCTCAGGTCAGTTTATATTATTTTTCCGCAGTATTTTGAGGAGTGGTACAAATGCATTACAATCGACACCTACCTACCATATTGGATGAGGTCCTCGCATCTAACTCCCTCAGGTCGAAATGCATTACAATGCATTACACTGGACCCTAACGCTATAAATATAATAATACGTGTACCAGCGATTCAACAGTGTCATAATGCGGTCACATGGCACCTCGCTGTTGTCACAGAACTAAATGGCCATGAATGAGATCATCGTGAAACATAATGCATCTGAAACAGAATGAGAGAATGATAGAGAATTTCATAGAACAACGTCCTTCCATATCCATTAAGAAGCATAAATATATATTGTGTATTTTTTGTATTTATTTCCTGATGATGACGATATGACCCTGACATTTTGTTACAAAGACAACCATACATGTCGTTGAAAACATATGTTTAAAACTTGTCTCCCCACGAAAGGTTTTGTTGCTGGATCTAAAGGCTTCCAGTTGTTTAATGATAGTGTGTGTTTCTTCTTTGTACTATCTGTCATCTGAATTATATATGTGTATATATATGGACGAGTGGCATTTAAAAGTTGTGCATAGATGTCTAAGATATTTTTATGGATTAAACTTCTCTTTTAATTCCTTTGAATGGTCCCGAAACGTCGTGGAGGGGAAATAAAAAGAAGTTTAATAAATAAAAATATTGGAGATTTAGCTGCGTTATCTCCCTTCCATCGATTTGCTATCGCTTGAAACATCGGTAATTTCCGTGACATCATAATGGATTCAATGTTATTCAAGAATTACTACCACGAAGTACCAAATGAGTTGCCATTCACAGCGGGTACATTGAAATGTAACTCTCTTGTAAGCGGGTACATTGAAAATAATAGAAGAGCGCTCAGCCAATCAGAAAATGACATTTATGTGTCAGGTAGGATATATATATATATGTTTATTTATTTATTTATTTATCTTACCTCACACACAAATGTCATTAATGTTGTACATGCAATATCATGTAAATATATTGATGAATTGCAGATCTAATTATGTCACATGTAGAATTACTTCAATGCAGTGTTTTGTAAACTGGGTGTGCTTATGGATATATTGGGGATAATGGAATAATTATCGAATATATTCATTGCTTTTAACCACTTTACACAATGGTGTATATCACCTGTACACTGCTTTGCAGGGCATCTATTTGCTTTTTGTTTGGACGGGATGGTGAACTCCATAGACCCAAAACATGTAACAACATTAAAAGTATGGTAAAAGTATTAACTGAATATAATTCATTGTGAGGCAACAAAGGTGATAATGATACATCCCACCACTGGCATTTTCCACACAGCATACCGAAAATTACTCCACAAAGTTGTTTATAATGTGATGTGTGTGGGAAGACATTTTTACAGTATCGGGTTTGTTATCATGCTACGTGTCATACCATCATATTGTGTATGGTCCCTACCCTACTTGTTATAAGAGTGTGACAGTGTTCCTTATGTTTTCAGTAAACACCATAACATCAACAGGTTAATGGTGGAAGTTGAAAGCAATCTTCAGAATCTTTTCCCGGTCACTGAAACAAGTTAAATCTGTTAAAAGAGTTTGCGGAAACAGAAGATCTCAAGAAGGAATGTTCCATTGGCACCTAGGAAACAGGTGATCTCAAGGAAGAACCCATGATGGAACCCTGGAAACTGGTGATATCATGACAGAACCTATTTTTGGAACCCAGGAAATAGGTGGTTTTGAAACTCATGAAAAACATAGTGGACCAACAAAGCAGCTTCATACATGTAGTGAGTGCATGAAAACATTTTCGAAATCAGGTGACTTGAAGAAACAGATGCTCTGTCAAAGTGGAATCAAGACTTATCAGTGTGCTGAATGTCGGAAAACATTTACACTATCGGGTCATCTGCAGAACCACATGAGGATTCACAGTGGAATCAAGGCTTATCAGTGCATTGTATGTGAGAAAACATTTATGCAATCAGGCTGCTTGCAGATTCACATGAGGATTCACACAGGAATCAAGCCTTATCAATGTCTTGAATGTGGGAAAACATTTGCACGATCAGGTAATCTGCAGAGACACATGAGGATACACACAGGATTCAAGCCATATGAATGTGTTGAATGTGGGAAAACATTTGCACGATCAGGTAACCTGCAGATACACATGAGGATACACACTGGAATCAAGCCTTATGAATGTGTTGAATGTGGAAAAATATTTACAGAATCAGGTCATCTGCAGTCACACATGAGGATTCACACAGGAATCAAGCCTTATGAATGTGTTGAATGTGGGAAAACGTTTACAGAATCAGGTCATCTGCAGAGACACATGAGGATACACACAGGAATCAAGCCTTATGAATGTGTTGAATGTGGAAAAACATTTACAGAATCAGGTCATCTGCAGTCACACATGAGGATTCACACAGGAATCAAGCCTTATGAATGTCTTGAATGTGGGAAAACATTTTCACAATCAGGTACTCTGCAGAGACACATGAGGATACACACAGGAATCAAGCCTTATGAATGTCTTGAATGTGGGAAAACATTTGCACGATCAGGTAACCTGCAGATACACATGAGGATACACACAGGAATCAAGCCTTATGAATGTGTTGTATGTGGGAAAACATTTACAAAATCAGGTCATCTGCAGAGACACATTAGGATTCACACAGGAATCAAGCCTTATGAATGTGTTCAATGTGGGAAAACATTTACAGAATCAGGTCATCTGCAGAGACACATGAGGACTCACACAGGAATCAAGCCTTATGAATGTGTTCAATGTGGGAAAACATTTACAGAATCAGGTCATCTGCAGAGACACATGAGGACTCACACAGGAATCAAGCCTTATGAATATGAATGTGGGAAAACATTTGCAGAATCAGGTCATCTGAAGTCACACATGAGGATTCACACAGGAATCAGACCTCATCAGTGCATTGTATGTGAGAAAACATTTATCCAATCAACTTGCTTGCAGATACACATGAGGATTCACACAGGAATCAAGCCTTATGAATGTGTGGAATGTGGAAAAGCATTTTCGGAATCAGGTCATCTGCAGAGACACATGAGGATACACTTAGAAATCAAGCCTTATGAATGTGTTGAATGTGGGAAAAAATTTGCACAATCAAGTCATCTGCAAACACACATGAAAATTCACAGTGGAATCAAGCCTCATCAGTGCATTGTATGTGAGAAAACATTTTCACAATCAAGTAACCTGCAGGAACACATGAGGATTCACACAGGAATCAAGCCTTTGAATGTGTTGAATGTGGGAAAGCATTTTACACCATCAGGTCATCTGCAGTCACACATGAGGACTCACCAGAATCAAGCTTCCTTATGAATGTGTTGAATGTGGGAAAAATTTGCACAATCAGGTCATCTCAAGCAGGACACACATGAAAATTCACAGTGGAATCAAGCCTTATGAATGTGGGGAAACATTTACACGATCAAATTGTCTGCAGAGACACACAAAATTGAACAGGGATCAAGCCATATGAATGTGTTGAATCTAGGGGAAATTTACTCTATCAGGTTAGAAACACATGAGGATTCATCAACTGACAGAAGTTGAAATCTGTTATATCAGGAACTGGTTACACACAACTGGCTTATAGGAAGTCGGATCAAGACAAAGCATTATGGCATGAACTATCATCATCTAGCTGGAGGCTCTACCTGGTGGGTAGGGAGGATAGGCGTGGGTCACGGCTCTGATAAAAAGTGAGTAATGAAGTTATAAAAAATGGATTGCTCGCTGCCAAATATACGTAATTCTGTGTCATCACTTTATACAGACGATGGGGTGTGATTTACGGTATACAGGTCACTCGAATCGACCCACTGTTTCAGCTCAACATACATCGCCTTCAATGTCAATGATACACCCAGTGAAACAAGTTTTAAGATACTGAGAAAGAAATTCACCACGCGCTTTCGAGAATGTCATGGATTTAAAAGACCCTACTGAGTTCAACAAAGTAAAACGCCCAGTAAACAATGAGTCACGACATATTTTCTCAAATCTGGAAATGTATGGTGTGGAACATTGAAGGCTTAAAACGCCATGAAACTAACATCCCATTCAAGAATACTATTAACCAATATGATGTTGTGTCTCTCGGGAAACATGGGCCAGTGAACGAGATGTATTCTTATTTCGGGTATATACAATTCCACCAGACAACGACAAGAAACATAGCACTATCAGGAATTCTGGTGGCATATTTTGTAGTAAAGGAATCCTTATCTCAGTGTGTTTCACAATATATAACACAGTCCCAAAATATGTTGTGGCTTCATTTCAAATCCAGTTATGATGATACTCACCTGTTTCTTTGTAATGATATATTTTCTCTGAGGAGGTCGAAAGGAACACTCTGATGAAGGGTTTGGATATACTTGAAGCTGACATTATACATATAAAATCTAAACGCCTAACTGTGATGTGATAGTTCAAGGCGATTTTAACGGAAGAGCTGGATATGGTTCTCAGCTTGATTACATCATAGCCGATGACGTCACATATTTACCAATAGAGGATGACATAAAGTATGGACAAGACAGTCCTCCTCAAAGACGATCACAAGACTGTGAATGAGGTTGATGAACGAGGTTACAGCCTACTTGACTGTTGTAAATCAACAGGGCTTAGAATATGTAATGGGAGACTATTCGATGATAAACTTGTTGGAAAAGAAACATGTTTTGCTGACGATGGACAAAGTGTTGTAGATTATGTTTTGTGTTTTTAAAAGTGCTTTGAAAGGTTTGTACAATTTGATATTCCTGATTGTGTAGAATCTACCCATACACCTGTGACCTTTTCTGTTGTTATGGATGCAGCTGACCCAGTCTCTTATGATGATGATTTGATAACAAGACCTAGATATTTCTGGGCAGAGGAAAAAGCGAGAACAGTATGTTGATTCATGGAATTCCATACCATCGGATTATACAGAAAACTTTAATTCACTGGTTTCCAACAGACAAGCAAGTTCCACCTGTGATTGCATTATTAAACTTGTTCAGTGTTGCGCTACATGCTTTAAAAACACTTCAATTTAAAATCTGATCGTGCAAAGGGGGATAACTGGTTCGATACGGAATGCAAGACGGCCAGACAGGTGGCTCGCCGTCTACTTTGTGCGTTTCATGCAACAAATGACGTTGTCGCTAGATTGATCTATATTGAGGCAAGACATCGCTATAAACAACTTTTTACAAATTATCACAGGCATTTATCACATTCACTAATAATCTTGAACAAGCACTTTTGATAACAAACAGTAAACTGTTTTGGTGAAATCAACACCCTCTAGAGGTGTAAACAGCATTAGTGCCACAGACTGGACTGTTGATTTTAAGAATTTATTCAGTGGAACAATATATCAGTTAATGAAGCTGACTTTTATCAATCAATACATCATTTTGTGAACTCCATCGATAATGAAGTAATGAATGAATCTGTTAATATTGAACTTGACCTTGACAGAGATATATCTTGTAAAGACAATCCTAGATGTTTCCAGTATGCATTAAGGTAAGGCACCTGGATTTACAGGAATACCAATTGAGTTTGTTTTTTTAAATGCTCACCTGTTTAGCCAAGTATATTTTCCTTGCTTTTAAGAAGCGCAGTAACTTCCTCCAGTGTCATGACAATGTATCAATGTATGAATGTGTACCTACTATGACGCTACCTCTGTTTTGCGATGTGAATTGATGATGGTGTAATTGTATACTGGGTCTGTGGCATGTTTACAGAATAAACATTCATTCACTCATTCGTTCACTATACGGAATTATCAGACTGCAATCACGATGGAGAAATAAGGCTGATGACAAATGTTGGTCGATTAAGGGCAACCAGTAGAGCACAGCCGTGTCAGTGAGTGGACAGACGATTTGTAATTGGCTACACAGAACCACCCGCATGCCCGATGTCCACGTGTGATCCCACGATTGGCGGAGCGTCATATTACTGTAAGACATATTTAATTAGTGTCAAGGGCGGCAATACTGGAACAGTCGTCGTTTTCGGATGGATCAAATTTTAATTTTGACTTCCTTGACGGAGTGTAATGGGCTAAAATTAAACCAAGTTGACATCGAACGTTTGATTAGGAATATGCTTCGTCTGATACCGGATTGTCTTGAGAACAGAGGCAGATTGAGGCGACATTAATGAAACACAGACGTCTGATGACAACCATTAAGTATGACATGTATTGTTTTCATCTACATCTCTCAAGTGAGGACATATATATGTAATTTGGCTTCAGTACAGTTTCCTGTGCTATATTATGTGTCAATAGTTAATGGAATTAAGGATGATGTGCAGATAAATTGGTGATGTGTTTTCTTATAAAATAAAATAAATATACCATTGAAAGGTATCTTTGCGATACTTTCTGGATGCCTCGCACAAATGGTAGTAACTCCCATTTCTTCTGAGGACACACACCACCTGTTTGCATTACAGTCCAGACTAGAGAGTGACACACTGACCAGAATGCATAATCCCCTAAACAAGTCGCAATATGTGGAGCAAAATGTTTCGGAGTATATATTCTTACTCCTTCATTGGGTGAAGAATACACTTTCTCCTTCATAAGATGAAGAATATACATACTCCTTCAGCAGAAGAAGAATATACATACTCCTTCAGCAGATCAAGAATATACATACTCCTTCTTCAGCAGATCAAGAATATACATACCCTTCAGCAGATCAAGAATATACATACTCCTTCAGCAGAAGAAGAATATACATACTCCTTCAGCAGATGAAAAAATATACATACTCCTTCAGCAGATGAAGAATATACATACTCCTTCAGCAGATGAAGAATATACATACTCCTTCAGCAGATGAAGAATATACATACTCCTTCAGCAGATGAAGAATATACATACTCCTTCAGCAGATGAAGAATATACATACTCCTTCAGCAGAAGAAGAATATACATACTCCTTCAGCAGATCAAGAATATACATACTCCTTCAGCAGATCAAGAATATACATACTCCTTCAGCAGATCAAGAATATACATACTCCTTCAGCAGAAGAAGAATATACATACTCCTTCAGCAGATGAAAAATATACATACTCCTTCAGCAGATGAAGAATATACATACTCCTTCAGCAGATGAAGAATATACATACTCCTTCAGCAGATGAAGAATATACATACTCCTTCAGCAGATGAAGAATATACATACTCCTTCAGCAGATGAAGAATATACATACTCCTTCAGCAGATGAAGAATATACATACTCCTTCAGCAGATGAAGAATATACATACTCCTTCAGCAGATGAAGAATATACATACTCCTACAGCAGAAGAAGAATATATATACTCCTTCAGCAGATGAAGAATATACATACACCTTGATTAGCTGAGGAATATTCACATTCCTTCATTAGGTGAAGAATATACTTACTCATCAAGTAAGGAATGTTTTTACTCCTTCATCAGTAAGAAAATACTCTGAAATGTCATTTTCAGTAAATGTACCCGTTAATGTGCATCATTTGGAAATGCTATGCAAAGACTCAGTGAGATATTGTGTTTTTGTGTCCCTCCACTATATAAGTAGATGCAGTTTTGACTGCCAAGATCTAAACATATATCTTGGAATGAAATGAATTCTGAAGTCATAATTTATCCTCAGCTCATTCTTCTCTTTTAATCTGACATAGTTTCCTGTCGGGCTTAAGAGCAGCTGTCATACGTTGAATGTATGATTTTCAGTGATTCATTCATATAACTTTCTCAACTATCTTTGCTTTATGCATTTCATCATTCATTGGTGATTAATTTGTTAAAAACAAGGTAAACCAAAACCACGACGCAGTGATGAACTGATTTTATACAAAAGGTGCGACGTAATGCTGTGTAAATAAGACTTGAGACCTGAGGTTAGGTGGCTGATTAGATTCCAGTTAGTGTACTAATGTCTCCAACTTGAACGGGCCAACATTTGATCAATAATTGAAAGCCTGAATTGATATGTAATCGATAATCCTAATTCAACTTAGTACGTAACACGAGTTCTGATTGGTCAGTGCTGTAAATGTCCGTCTTTATAATCAGCATATACGGTCGCAATTTGAAACCGATTCACCAAAACGTTTGAGTGTGCCCCTACACTACAGTGTTTTTCAGGACATTATCATATGCAGAAACCCTAGGTATTCAATTAACTCCACTATTAAAGCTACATGGATGTAATACATATAATATATGTGTTACAAAATGACAAAACAGTATCATAAATTTAATTGTAAGTTGACTTCAAACAATTTGCAACGGGCTGTTGACCTAACACTGTTAGGTCATGGAACAAGATTTATGACGTCATTATGGAGCGTGACGTCATCTGCTTTGAGTGTACTGACGGAGGTCAGTACAAAAGCGAAATGTAAACAGAGATAAGCACTTCGGTAAGAATGCATTATACAGGAGTTTTCCGCCATATTCTATTATCACGCAACTTCGCCAATTTATGTTATTGTTTAGGATTATTTGAGGGGTAGCATATGCATTACACCGGACACCTGCCTACCATATTGGATTAGGTCCTAACTCTAAAACGCCTCAGGTAAGAATGCATTACACAGCCTCACAGGACCCTTGGAAAGATTTCCGCCCATAACCCCCGTATTTTCTTTAAATCATTCTATGCCTACGAATATAGGCCTATCTTGTTGGGGTGGGTTTTAATAAAAAAAACTAACGATAAACCCTAACCTAAACCTAACCCTAAACCCCGAAATAATCCTGGTTAACTGAATGCATTTCACGCGGATGATACAGATGGAACTGTTACCGGACCCTTTCCGCCATATTCTATTATTCGCAGCTACAGTCAATTTTCATCTTATTTTTTAGGATTTCTTTGACGGGTTCACCCGACACCAACATATCATATTAACCCTAAACCACTCAAAATAAATCTAAAATATAAAAATAAAATGACTAAAGCTGCGAATAAATGGTATCTGGTATGATGCATTCTTACCTGAGGGGTTTAGGGTTAGGGACTTCATGCAATATGGTTGGAAGGTGTTAATATTATACGATATTTATATAGCGCACATATAACCCGGCAACTAGTGCTTGCTCCAGGCGCTGGTATTTTTTCCCTCGATCATTTGATGTCAGTCTCAACGGCCCATCGTGTTATCAATTTCAACTCCCTGGGGATCATACAACTCTTGCAGCCACTAGACGCACCGAGTTATTGTGGCCTTCTCATCCTAACGAGGTACCCATTCACAGCTGGGTGGACTGGGGACACATAGTCACAGCACTTTGTCCAAGGTTCACTGCCCGTTGCTGTGCCCGCAACTTGTGTTTGCATCGTATTCATGTGGCCACCATCTGGTCATATACCAACAGATTCGTGGCTTCTTGTAAGGGCACAGGATGTGTACTGTACATACGGGTTGTGATAACACTGCACACAAAGTTGACTCCGAGGTTTTTACGCCCGGTCAGAGGTTGGCTCCATCCGACACCTTCAAGCCTGCTGGACACTAGCCTGGCACCTTAGCCAGCTCGCCCAAATCTTCCGGCCCTGATAGTACCCAGATATTTATATACTCTTTCACTGTTTCTTCCTGTCCATTAATACAAACATGTTTCAGTTTGTTTTGTTTTCGTTTATTTGCTTCGGAAGTCAATTATCATTTCCTTTGTTTTGTTTATGTTCAGGGTGAGGAAATTGTCTTTGCACCATGAAGTAAACGCATCAATATTTCTCCTATACTCTAATTCCGATTGACAAATAAACCCAACCAAAGCGGCGTCATCAGCAAATTTGAAATTCAAACTGGTGGATAAATGAGATATACAGTCATTTGTATATTGTGTGAAGAGGACAGGAGACAGGACACAGCCTTGAGGAGCACCGGTTGAATTGACCCGAACACGTTGAGGTCGGTTAATTAAGAAGGCCTCTACCCACTTGATGGTGTATAGCCTGATAGGTGTTAAGTTCGAATTGCATGTGGTCAGTGATCGAAGTTGTGTATTGAATATTGTCATTAGCAGACATGCAGGCAGTCACATAGGTGTCAATAAAACAGACATTGAGGTCTGTGACAACGACATATCTATATCACAGTTAGAAATTGTGTCAACGCTGAATAATGACATTGCTTTTAAGTATCGAACTGAGAAAGTGACTCGGTAAGAAGAACGTGTGGTGAAATAGACAAATGAAATTATATCAACAGTTAAATCGGTAATCTACTGTCATAACATATAAAAAGCTCGCGCCTGTGAAATATCAACGAAACATTAGAAAAAATAGCTCACACTAAAGCCTTCACCGAGTATTCACCGGACAACCAGCTTCCAAGCTGCGTGAACCTATTTCACTGCGCATGTGCTATGAGCGCAGCACCATACCGAAATCAGAATCTGCAAAGTTGTGTTTTAAGTTGCATGTGACCTTTAATTAAGTTCAAGATAATTCGCTCAAAGCATTTCATGATTATTGGAGTAAGAGGCACTGGGCGGTAGTCATTAATTATTGAAGGTTTTGACTTTTTGGGAACGGGGATTATATGCGAGCAGAGACCATATAATAGACCATATAATAGATCTATAATATGGTCTCTGATGCGAGGTTTTCCATATTGTTGGTATATGATGGTCGTCGACAGACATCTGGAAGATCACTCTGTATATCCCGCACAACTGTTCACAACATTCTCGTAGTGCAATGCCAGGTATTCCATCAGGGCCGATTGATTTCCGAATATTAATCTTCCTAAATGTTAGCATCACATCAAGGTCGGTGATAACTAAAATATCATCTTCTGGTAGGCTTTGAATGAAGGCATTTCTTGTCTGAGAGAAGTTAGCACAACATCTTTCCATATCCAGTAGGAAGCATAAATATAAACTGTGTATATATTATTTTTCCCGATCATGGCGATATGATCCGAAATTTCGTTACAAAGACAACCATACATGTCGTTGAAAAACACGTTTAAAACTTGTTTCCCCACGAAAGGTTCTGTTACTGGATCTAAAATCTCTCAAGTGTTTAATGATAACAGTTTTAACTATCAAATAATTTCACAACAAGTTATAAAAGTTACCAACTATAAAATTTATTTTATACAATAGACCATTTCTAACAGTAAATACAATACGCAATCACGCTGCCAGAGTTGTATTCTACAAATGATAAATTAACAGCACAATTATTGTTAAAAGAGTGGAAAAGCAGGATTTTACGAGCGCTTTCATCAGAAGTATGCCTCCGGCATACCGAGTGTAAACTACATTTTATTCAAAATCTTATCTTCTGAACGGCAGAGATGCCACCATCCATTTCTGAATAAATGATCTTTCTTCTTCAACCATTCTCCGAAGAATCCTCGATCTCCGTTAGTTTCTATTGTGACGTGATCTCCGTTATTTTCTATTGCGACCTGAACCTAGATACAGAAACCTTCACAAGGCCTTGTTATGACGTCACAACATGGCGGCGCCCATGTCGAAACGTAGCTTACACGAAAAAGCACAAATCAAGACTAAAGACGCTAAATATATTATGCCACATCAGGTAGACGCTTAGTATAAACTACCGGGCGCACTTTTCATTTAATCAGCGCTGCTGGGGCTCGAAGCCCAACCCTAACCTAAGGATCGATGAACGACTGCGTTATAGTAAGACAGTGCAGTAGAGCTACAGAGAAGCCGCGCTTGGCGCGATCACTGATTGCTCATTAGCATAATACGCCGGGCTTCCAACGGTATTCTAGCCAAGGCGCTCTGTTTTACATAATAATTCCAACGGTATGAGCTTTCGAAATCCTAGGATCACGGCAAATTATATGTTAAAGTGCACTGGCACGGAACAACACCATATGCACAGTGTAACTGATACCGCGGGAATTAGTATACAGACAAAATACGTCGTAATAGTAAACATATTTATACACGGTAATTATTATAGGTTACCCTGTACATTACATAAATTTAGATCTATATGTATATATGGAAAAGAAGGCAATATTATTATATTCATTTTGAATTAGTTCATATGATTAAACTCGTATTATGTAATCAAATTGGTCAAAGATAGCACTGGATTTGATTATGTTCACATGAAGAGGTACATGTATTTGAATGGTGTCCTCCCATTACGCAAACAGGCAGTTCGCAGGCGTCTTAAAAAAAACAACATTTACGGTTCAATGAACAGATTATCTACTACCTGTTACCTACACATTATAATGGAATAGTCCAAATAAAAACGCCAGAAAGAAAAGTTGATATTCTGATGAACATTTTGGTTTAACCAGGGATAATCTACAACGTTATATAGTCTCCCTGGTTTATTTTATCAGCAGCTACGATGTAGAATAATATACCCTTAGCTATAAGAAACTGCAACTCTGTTGCATCATTTGAATTCTTATATCTACGTGAAAGAAAAATGTGTTTAATGATAGGGTGTGTCACTCCTTATGCTATCTGTCATCTAAATGATATAAATATATGGAAAGGCATTAATTTTGTACATGCAATAGTATTATGTAAATATATTGATGAAAGGCAGATCTAATTATGCTGACATGAAGAATTATTTCAATGCAGTGTGTTTTCAACTGGGTGTGCAATTGAGCAAAATGGAATAATGATCGAATATTCATTGCTTTTAACCAAATACGCATCAAAAAGCCCCAATCATCAAATAGAGTGGTCTGACATCACCATTCTCTCTAACAAACAAATGACTTCACTAAACGCAAGCTCACCGAAGCCATCCACATCAAACGCCAAAGCCCACCATCAACCGAGACCAAGGATACTTCATTCCATCCGCCTATGATGCACTCATCCACCAAGCCCAATCTACTGTATAAACTCACTGTTGTATAAACATGTCATTATCATTTGTACATCATTGGCTTCTACGCCTGTCCTTTGTCTACTCTCTGGCTTCATCAGCCTTCTGCCTAGCCAATTATATTAATTATGTTGTTTTCTTTGTTACATCCAGTATATATACACTTCCCCCTTCTTCATGTCCCATTATGCTTGACAACGGTACAAGAATCTGTATCGAAACGTCGCACTCACGAATAAAAAGAAGTTGTTATCCATAAAGTTTGTTCTATATTGTACTTACCAACTTCTAAAATGCCACTCAAAGAAGAAATTGTACACAGTGGTGTATATCACCTTCGCTTTGCAGGACATCTAATTGTTTTGGTTTTGATTGGGATGATGTACTCGCCATAGCCCTTAAATATGTAACATAAGTAAAAGTATATCCATACGTGTCATCACATTGAGGCAACAGAGATGTTTTCAGATAATTATACATCCACTTTGCATTCTGACCTTCGGTTCTTACCGAAACCGGTTTTGAAAATCACTCCGCGAAAGTTGTTTATAGTGTGTTGTATGTGTGTTCGGAAGACATTTATGCAGTATCAGGTTTGTTACCATGCTACGTGTCATACCATCATATTGTGTATGGTCTCTACCCTACTTGTTATAAAAGTGTGACAATGTTCCTTATGTTTTCAGTAAACACCATAACATCCACCGTTAATGAAGGAAGTTGAACGCAAGCCACAAAATCCTTTCTCTGTCATTGAAACAAATGAAATCTGTTGACAGGGTTTGCTGGACACCTTGGAAACAGGTGCTGTTAAGAAAGAACCACTTAATGGAACACTGGAATCATGCTGTCCCATGAAAGAATACATGAATGCAACCCTTCAAACAATTGAAACAATGGAAAGACCCGTTACTGGAACCCTGGTTCTGCTGACACACATGGAGATTCACAGTGGAATCAAACCTCACCAGTGCCTGGTGTGTGAGAAAACATTTACAGCCTCAAGTGACCTGCAGAAACACATGAGGGTTCACAGTGGAATCAAGCCTCATGAATGTGTTGAATGTGGGAAAAAATTTACACAGTCAGGTAATCTGCAGAAACACATGAGGATGCATTCAGGAATCAAGCCTTATGAATGTGTTGAATGTGGGAAAGCATTTTCAGAATCAGGTAATCTGCAGAAACACATGAGGACTCACACAGGAATCAAGCCATATGCATGTGTTGAATGTGGGAAAACATTTACAGAATCAGGTAGTGTGCAGATACACATGAGGATTCACAGAGGAATCAAGCCTTATGAATGTGTTGAATGTGGGAAAGAATTTGCACAATCAGGTCATCTGCAGGGACACATGAGGATACACACAGGAATCAAGCCTCATGAATGTGTTGTATGTGGTAAAACATTTACAGAATCAGGTCATCTGAAGAACCACATGCAGACTTCACATCAAGCCTTATGAATGTCTTGAATGTGACCTGACAATTCACAGTGAATCAAGCCTCATCAGTGTGTGAGAAAACATTTATGCAATCAACTTGCTTGCAGATACACATGAGGATTCACACAGGAACCAAATGAATGTGTTGAATGTGGGAAAACATTTACACAAACTCAGGTCATCTGCAGAAACACATGAGGACTCACACAGGAATCAAGCCTTATGAATGTGTTGAATGTGGGAAAAACATTTACAGAATCAGGTCATCTGCAGGGACACATGAGGACTCACACAGGAATCAAGCCTTATGAATGTGTTGAATGTGGGAAAAATTTGCACAATCAGGTCATCTGACACATGAGGGGAATCAAGCCTTATGAATGTGTTGAATGAGATCAGGTAATCTGCAGGGACACATGAGGATTCACACAGGAATCAAGCCTTATGAATGTCTTGAATGTGGGAAACAATTTGCACAATCAAGTCATCTGCAGAGACACATGACAATTCACAGTGGAATCAAGCCTCATCAGTGCATTGTGTGTGAGAAAACATTTATCCAATCAACTTACTTGCAGATACACATGAGGATTCACACAGGAACCAAGCCTTATAAATGTGTTGAATGTGGGAAAGCATTTACACGATCAGGTCATCTGCAGTCACACATGAGGACTCACTCAGGAATCAAGCCTTATGAATGTGTTGAATGTGGGAAAGAATTTGCACAATCAAGTCATCTGCAGGGACACATGAGGATACACACAGGAATCAAGCCTTATGAATGTGTTGAATGTGGGAAAAAATTTGCACAATCAAGTCATCTGCAGGGACACATGAGGACTCACACAGGAATCAAGCCTTATGAATGTGTTGAATGTGGGAAAGAATTTGCACGATCAGATAATCTGCAGAAACACATGAGGACTCACACAGGAATCAAGCCTTATGTATGTGTTGAATGTGGGAAAGCATTTACAGAATCAGGTACTCTGCAGAGACACATGAAGACTCACAGAGGAATCAAGCCTTTTGAATGTCTTGAATGTGGGAAAAAATTTGCACAATCAGGTCATCTGCGGACACACATGAAAATTCACAGTGGAATCAAGCCTTATGAATGAGGGGAAACATTTACACGATCAAATTGTCTGCAGAGACACACAAAAATTGCACAGGAATCAAGCCATATGAATGTGTTGAATCTAGGGGGAAATTTACTCTATCAGGTTAGAAACACATGAGGATTCACCAACTGCCAGAATTTGAAATCTGTTATATCAGGAATTGGTTACACACAACTGGCTTATAGGAAGTCGGATCAAGACAAAGCATTGTGGCATGAACTATCATCATCTAGCTGGAGGCTCTCCCTGGTGGGTAGGGAGGATAGGCGTGGGTCACGGCTCTGATAAAAAGTGAGTTTTGAAGTTATAAAAAATGGATTGCTCGCTGCCAAATATACGTAATTCTGTGTCATCACTTTATACAGACGATGGGGTGTGATTTGGCGGTATACAGGTCACGAATCGACTGTTTCAGCTCAACATACATCGCCTTCTTGTCGAGACGAGCAAGGCGACGGGCCACCATGTCCATGCGAGCGATGCACGTGCGCCGGTGCATATTGACCTGGCTCAAGCTGACTTTGTTTTCTTTGCTACTTTTGTTGATGAGTCACAGTATTGAACTGAACCCAGGTCCTCGGCGTCAAGCAGCTTTAGATGGGGAATTTTCTTTGTCCGATATGTTTAAGGAACTTACGGATATGCGCCAAGAAATGAACGATAACTTTGAGAATCTTTCAGGAAAAATTACCAAAATGGAAAATGACATACTCGAGTTGAGTGAAGATAATGCAGACATGCGAGATACTGTGGACAAGCTTACCCAGACGGTTAATAGCCTTGAAAGCCAAGCGAGACAGAAAAATTTGATATTTTTCAATGTCAATGATACACCCAGTGAAACAAGCGAAGATACTGAGAAAGAAATTCACGATGTGCTCGAGAATGTCATGGATTTTAAAGACCCTACTGAGTTCAACAAAGTAAAACGGCCCAGTAAACAATGAGTCAGACATATTTTCTCAAATCTGGAAATGTATGGTGTGGAACATTGAAGGCTTAAAACGCCATGAAACTAACATCCCATTCAAGAATACTATTAACCAATATGATGTTGTGTCTCTCGTGGAAACATGGGCCAGTGAACGAGATGTATTCTTATTTCCGGGGTATATACAATTCCACCAGACAACGCACAAGAAAAATAGCACTATCAGGAATTCTGGTGGCATATTTTGTAGTAAAGGAATCCTTATCTCAGTGTGTTTCACAATATATAACACAGTCCCAAAATATGTTGTGGCTTCATTTCAAATCCAGTTATGATGATACTCACCTGTTTCTTTGTAGGATATATTTTTCTCTGAGGAGGTCGAGTGAACACTCTGATGAAGCGGTTTTGGATATACTTGAAGCTGACATTATACATATAAAATCTAAACGCCTAACTGTGATGTGATAGTTCAAGGCGATTTTAACGGAAGAGCTGGATATGGTTCTCAGCTTGATTACATCATAGACGATGACGTCACATATTTACCAATAGAGGATGACATAAAGTATGGACAAGACAGTCCTCCTCAAGAGACGATCACAAGACTGTGTTATTAATGAACGAGGTTACAGCCTACTTGACTGTTGTAAATCAACAGGGCTTAGAATATGTAATGGGAGACTGTTCGATGATAAACTTGTTGGAAAAGAAACATGTTTTGCTAACGATGGACAAAGTGTTGTAGATTATGTTTTGTGTTTTTAAAAGTGCTTTACGATGATGATTTGATAACAAGACCTAAATATTTCTGGGCAGAGGAAAAAGCGAGAACCGTATGTTGATTCATGGAATTCCATACCATCGGATTATACAGAAAACTTTAATTCACTGGTTTCCAACAGACAAGCAAGTTCCGCCAGTGATTGCATTATTAAACTTATTCAGTGTTGCGCTACATGCTTTAAAAACACTTCAATTTAAAATGTTATCGTGCAAAGGGGGATAACTGGTTCGATACGGAATGCAAGACGGCCAGACAGGTGGCTCGCCGTCTACTTTGTGCGTTTCATGCAACAAATGACCTTGTCGCTAGATTGATCTATATTGAGGCAAGACACCGCTATAAACAACTTTTTACAAATTATCACAGGCATTTATCACATTCACTAATAATCTTGAACAAGCACTTTTGATAACAGTAAACTGTTTTGGTGAAATCAACACCGTCTAGAGGTGTAAACAGCATTAGTGCCACAGACTGGACTGTTGATTTTAAGAATTTATTCAGTGGAACAATATATCAGTTAATGAAGCTGACTTTTATCAATCAATACATCATTTTGTGAACTCCATCGATAATGAAGTAATGAATGAATCTGTTAATATTGAACTTGACCTTGACAGAGATATATCTTGTAAAGAAATCCTAGATGTTTCCAGTATGCATTAAGGTAAGGCACCTGGATTTACAGGAATACCAATTGAGTTTTTTTTTAAAATGCTCACCTGTTTAGCCAAGTATATTTTCCTTGCTTTTAAGAAGCGCAGTAACTTCCTCCAGTGTCGTGACAATGTATAAATAAATGTGTACCTACTATGACGCTACCTCTGTTTTGCGATGTGAATTGATGATGGTGTAATTGTATACTGGGTCTGTGGCATGTTTACGGAATAAACATTCATTCACTCATTCGTTCACTATAAGGAATTATCAGACTGCAATCACGATGGAGAAATAAGGCTGATGACAAATGTTGGTCGATTAAGGGCGACCAGTAGAGCACAGCCGTGTCAGTGAGTGGACAGACGATTTGTAATTGGCTGCACAGAACCATCTGCATGTCCACGTGTGATCCCACGATTGGCGGACCGTCATATTAGACATATCTAATTAGTCGTTGTTAAGGTTTATACCCGGACTGTCGACAACAACATATAATCCGTTCAAATTACTTGTCGACAGTCCGGGGAAAGGGAGATGATGTTCTACATGAGTGACTTCACGCCCTGTGTTCTGGAAATTAACAAACCAATTAAAACAGAGTGATATATATAGAAGACAATATATTTATTTAGTGAGGTGAGGTGAAATTTGGTTTAACGTCGTGCTTGAGAATATTTCGATCATATGACGACGTGCATGCGTGTTTATGTGTATGTGTGACTGCTTGTACTAGCCCAGACTGAAGCTAGTTTTATAGTGCTAGCCCACTGAGATACCATGCCGCAGTGAAGCATGAATACCCCACCCAGGCACATTATACTGACTCCGAGCCGACCAGTCCTTGTTGTACGCAAATATGCCGAGCGCAAGGCAGAGACCAACAAGTACCATATTTTAACGTCTTTTGGTATGACACGGTCGGGGATCGAACCCGCGACCTTCCGCTCTCCGGGCGGACGCTGTAACCACTACACCACGGATAACAACATGTATATGTCATATGTCACACTATATAACATATTTGTATATATATATATCAGAAATCTCACACAATATATGTATGTGTGTGTGTGTGTGTGTGTGTGTGTGTGTGTGTGTGTGTATTTTAGAAATAAGTGATTTCAGCATGTGTATAAGCAATGAATATATAAAAGATGAGTTCAGATATTTCTTCTTGCCAAAACTCCTTTATATCTGCACTTAAGTAATCTGTTATGTTCAGCCAAGATGAAACAACTCTGACACATGGTCTGTGTAGTTCAAACCAGTAAGTCTGTAGGCAAGAAGGACCGAATCCTAGCATCGATGATTCGGTAGCGACGTCTACGGACGGGTTCTCTGCTGAAATTACAAATTATTTTGTGATATTGGGAGTAGAAGGATTATCGAAATGCTATACAAATATGTAATATTGTGTGACATATGATACATGCATGATACATGCATGTTGTTATATTGACTGAATAATTATATTGTCTACTATATATATCACACTCTGTTTTAATTGGTTTGTTCATCATTCATTCTGTTTTTCTGCGCTTGGAGCTGGTCACGTTGAACGCCCCGCACCGATCGCCGTCTCAATCCATAACCACAAAGCTGGCTTCGCTCCCTCTAACCTCCTCCTCTCTACCGACCACAGCCGACTGACTACAAATCAACACATCCTACCGGTCACTACACCGTGGCCCTCCAGGGCCAGGAAACACGCAAGTGTTACCTGTGAAACCTTGACTATCATTGACTCATAAATCATCCGAACTGTAGCTCGCTACCTTATCAAACCTTTTTCTCTCATCTCATTTGTATATATGCTTTCTCCTGTAAATTTGTTTGTATTTTCATTTGTATATTGTGCCCACATTCATTGTGTACTCTATCCCGGCCCCACCCAATCCCACCCCCTTCCCCACTATGGCCTCCCCACCCCTCCCGGCCTCACTATTCTCCACTCCAACAAAGAGTTCCCACCCCTTACCTCCCCAATTCAAATGGACCCCATCCCCATAAACTTCGGAATCGACATTGATTCCCTACTCCCATAACATCTATAGGTGTCGTACCTGGAAGTAGACATTTGTTATTACAGTAAAATCCTTTGATAGGTAGAACTCACTAGTTCTAACTATGAACATAGTTGCTGATATGAACTCACTAGTTAAATGACAAATAACACAATTATGATTATTTGATTGATATCAACTCACAAATTAACTATATTATTTAAGAAAATTTAGATTGATTGATATAAACTCACACTGGGTATATATCATGGTAATTCCACCAAGAATCTATCACTGTCAAAAATGGCAAACCAGCAGTTAGACTATAAGTTTCTCCCGACTTCACGTGGTGGACGTTATCTAGTTGTTGAAGGCTTTGTGTTTCGATTGAATCGAAGACGCAACGATGCTTCATGGGCATCTTGGAGATGCCAGGAGAAGACATGTGCTGCGACTGTCTCTACTGTGAACGACATCATCACCAAGCATCCCAGCCCACATAACCATGGACCTGTCCATAATGAGATAAAGGTATGTTGTGCGTAAATGTATCTATAAATTATAATATTAAAATGGTATAAAGCTCTGCTACATTTGTTCATTATTTGCACAATTTTAGACAAATGTGCTCGAAAAGCACTTCATTAGATTTATGCAGCCATAACATTACATTAATTTTGGTTATATCTTATTTACAGGTCAGAGAGACACTGGACAGGATGAAGATGGTGGCCAAGTCATCTCTGGGTCCGATACCGACGCTGTACAACGAGGTTCTGGCCTCAGTGAGCGATGGTCCTTGGACGGAAGAGAACAGGTCGCTGCTGGGAGGAAACCGCCACCAAAAAGGAGGAAGTACATCCATGTCAACTCAAGACTAGAGACTCTGAAGCAAGAACTCCGAGATGGTGCCATGAGTGTCATGGTTTACGCTGATGCCGTGTCGCATCTAATGAAGTTACAGTGAACTGACATTTAGTGTGTGACTTTGAAGTGTGATGCAGTAGACCTAGTGCTAAGTACTGAATGCAATGTTAATCATGCTTTGTGTATATTATTATTTAATTTATGTATGTAATATTAATGTAATTTTGTTTTTACCTTGGGAATGGTTTGTGGATGTATTCCATCTATTTACCAGTTAACATTTTTGTATGACCCATGTGGTTGAAATAACATAGAACCTCCATTGTTCTCTGGAGGCAGTGGACTTGAAAATCCTTACATGCTCCACTGGTTTGTTGTTTTAAACATCACAAATGTCTACTTCCAGGTATGTAACCCATCTATACAGGGAGTCATCTACATAGACACAAGGGAAACGGAAACAGACATCAAAGACTACATTGACATCGCAAACACCATCCCAAACCAACCCAAAATCACCAACTTCAGAGCAATCAACAACAGACAACCCACCACCTATAACCCTAACACACAAACAACCTTCCTTACATTCGAAACCACTACTCTTCCCATCCACATTATATCTGGCGCCCTTACTTACAAAGTACACCCAACACGCAAAAACCCACAACAATGCAAATACTGTTTTTCATACTCACACATCTCAGATTCATGCAAGCTCCCCATGCTATGTCCAAAATGCGGGTCGGACACACACACACTAGATGAATGTCGCCAACAAAAATACTGCATTCACTGCGACCCACCGGCCACACCGCTACACAAAACACATGTCCCATCAAACAAAAGCACATACTCAGGCACAACAAACACATTAAAAACACCGACCTGCCCAAACCAGCACGCCCAATACTCGCATACAACTCCATCCTCTCAGCCTCATCATCCTCCCCCTACACCTCCTCCTCCCCTAACTCGTCATTCTATTCACCCACCCCCACTCAAACCCACACGCCCTCCCCTGCTCGCAAATCCAACCCCCACCTCCACCTCCCCAAACCCGCCATAAACCACAACCATCTAAACAACCTCTCCTAGCAAACCCCCAAAAACCGGCGGCCCCACCATTCCAAAACCCCCTCCCAACTACAAACCACCCCTCCCAAGCAAACACGCCCCAAAACCCCGCACCCCACCATTCAAAACCGGTAACCCATCGCCCCTCCCCAACATTCCCCAACTCAAACCACCCACATCCCAACCCACAAACAAAACTCAAGATTTGATAATACTCACTACATTCATAGCCCCCAATACCATTTTACTCGGAGACTTCAACGCACATCACCCACTGTGGGGCACAGGCCAACACAGTCTCACTTCACTTAATGACAACCAGCCCACCCGTTACCCTCTTTCCCACCTCCACTCACCCACAGCCATAGACATCACATTCACCACCCCCAAACTAACACAAGCTTGCATCTGGGAGGTACACAACGACACCTGGGGCAGCGACCACTGCCCCATTAAAATCACTATAACTTCACACATCCTCACCAACCACCACTCCTCCACCCACACCTACAGAAACCAGATACAACATTAACTCTAAATCGCGCCCAGACCTCATACACAATATAGTAATCCGAACAGACTCACTGCACGCTCAAACAACAATATCACATTCACATGGATACCCAGCCACTCAAACATCACAGGAAACGACACCGCAGACACCGCAGACAAACTCGTCACATCCCATATATCACCAAATCTCAGTTTCCACACATCCAAATCAGAAATAAAAAAACTCATTAAAACTAACATATCAAATACAAGCTTTCAACACAAAATCAACCTGAGTCACCTCCATTATAAAATCTCCAATAAGAAAAATCCCCACATATTCAAATATCAAAGATATCATAGACACAGCAATAACCAGACTAATAACGGGCATCACAAACTTAAATTACACACTCTATAAAGAAAACAGACACCCGGATGGACTATGTACACATTGCAACACCCATGAAGACATAAACCACATATTCACACATTGCCAGCTGCAACAAACAAACATTAAGCAATTACACAGCAACATTCCCACGAAATACCACAATAACACACACCTCCTTCTCAACCCCCACAATCCGCCCAATATCTCCCATGCCATAGCCACTTTCCTACAAAACTCTAACCTACTCCATAAAATTTAGAACCTCCCAAACAAACCCTCTCATTACCACTCACTTCTAGCTTACATATTTAGATCAGGCGCCAAAATCCATACTATCATTCTATCACCAGCACATGCCTATACATTTAGACCTGGGAGTCAATTTCATTCATCCATAGTGCTCTAAATCCGCTACGAGGTCCGCGCCCACCCCCAACCAATCACACTCCACTAAAATTGTAAACAAAGCAGTCCAACCTCTCTAACACAAGGTCAAGGCCACCCACCCCCGCCAGCTTACCTGCAATCTTCACCAAGCAGCCCCTTACCCACAGAATATACATACTCCTTCAGCAGACGAAGAATATACATACTTTTTTAGCAGATGAAGAATATAATACTCCTTCAGCAGATGAAGAATATACATACTCCTTCAGCAGATGAATAATATACATACTCCTTCAGCAGATGAAGAATAGACATACTCCTTCAGCAGATGAAGAATATACATACTCCTTCAGCAGATGAAAAATATACATACTCCTTCAGCAGATGAAGAATAGACATACTCCTTCAGCAGATGAAGAAAAGACATACTCCTTCAGCAGAAGAAGAATATACATACTCCTTCAGCAGAAGAAGAACATACATACTCCTTCAGCAGATGAAGAATATACATACTCCTTCAGCAGATGAAGAATAGACATACTCCTTCAGCAGAAGAAGAATAGACATACTCCTTCAGCAGATGAAGAATAGACATACTCCTTCAGCAGAAGAAGAATATACATACTCCTTCAGCAGATGAAGAATAGACATACTCCTTCAGGGGATGAAGAATATACATACTCCTTCAGCAGATGAAGAATAGACATACTTCTTCAGCAGAAGAAGAACATACATACTCCTTCAGCAGAAGAAGAATATACATACTCCTTCAGCAGAAGAAGAATATACATACTCCTTCAGCAGAAGAAGAATATACATACTCCTTCAGCAGAAGAAGAATATACATACTCCTTCAGCAGAAGAAGAACATACATACTCCTTCAGCAGAAGAAGAAATATACATACTCCTTCAGGAGATGAAGAATAGACATACTCCTTCAGGAGATGAAGAATATACATACTCCTTCAGCAGATGAAGAATATACATGATATTGTGACTTCGACCCCCACCTCGCTGCCACGAGAGAAATTGTTATGTTATACGCTATGTCATGCAAAATCCTATTGGCCATCAATAAAATACATATTTTACTACCAGTAGAAAGTAGTTTTGACTTTGTAACTCGGTGAAAACAAACATAAATACCATTTATCCTCAGACTGGCGGATGTTCCCGATAGGGCGCCGCCGTTTTTAAAAATAAAAAAATCTGTTAGAATTAATGAGATTATAGTTTGTTTTCATCAAGTTAGAAAATCAAGACTACTTTCTACTCGTAGTTAAATATGTATTGGAATCATAACCAAACGGATTTTGCATGACACAACTTATAACATAACGATTTCTTCCACGGAAGCGAGGTTGGGGTCGAAGTCATAATACTGCGCGGTACATTTCTTGCTATGGTTAATGTCCACTCACCAGTATGTAGATACTAGTCAATGTGCGTCTTTATATTTGGTCTTATAATCCTAATTAGTTTATTATCATACTTGTATGCATTTTGAAACTAAATAAAAAGCAGACGATCTGCTGATACTTATAGTGAATTTATAACAGAACTGTAATATCTAGACATTTTATAGTTTTCCAATGTGAATCATAATTCGCACACACACCCTAGTGCATGTTGTCTGTCTCATTACACTTCACGGCGAAAACAATGATTCTGTTGAATGCTGCGACAAATTAATAAAAACAAAATGCAAATATTAAAATTAAAACAGATTAAAGTTATAGGAACAATATCAGGCCATTACCTTCGATGAATGTATCCATCAATATCCACAAAACTGTTCCAAATGATGTGTCTTTTAACAGTTTAATATACAAAAAAGTGATAAATCTTTTCAGGTATTGGTGTATAGTCTCATTGGTCACCCAAGATAGCACACCTGGAACTAATTGCATAATGTCCGCCTTTCTTTAAAAACAATAATTTAGTTAGTCAATAATGGGCAATCAATCAATGTATTGTCGGTTAATCCTTTGAAAGAAGGACGTTGTTTTTACGCAGACACCGACACGACAGAGTGTATTCAGTATAGATTAGTAAATCTACATGCATAAACACTACCTTTTGACAATTCCGCGGTGTAAGATACAAGTAATTAATCAATCAGCGTGTTATCGGTTAATCCTTTGATCGATGTTTATAATGTTGAATATTTACTCCAGACACAAGAAATGCCAAATGGGAACCTTTGTCGGGTAATCTAAGTGTGTTACCACTAAATATACCTGTTATAAATTCATTAACTGACCATCAAGTGAATGATGACAAATAACATGTGTAGGTTTATACCACCTAACACGGGTTACAACAAGGGAGTATTAATTGCTGTATTGCATGTGAAAACTTATGGGCCGACACTGTTTTGAGAATACAAACAGATTTTTACATGACATGATTAAATATCGAGGTAAAAAAACACAGAAATGGGATCAATTTGGATTAGTCATTATACAAATAAGGCCTAACGACACCAATCGATTTTGACAGAATCGTCTATGAAAACAAGTTGTAACTCGGAAACTAGGCAAAGCAGGAGACAAAATTAAATGACAGTAGATTGTGAGAACATATAGTTTTCATTTTCCACAACAACTGTCACGATTTCAGGTTTATACAAGCCTGTAAACAAGATAATTTAACCGCTAAAA